AGATTCATGCAATTCCAAGACAAGACTTCAACGCAAAGCTGATAATGAACGAATGCCGATTATGATACAGATTACAGAAGGACGATAAATTGGTAAGTGGACCTGGGCTAGAAGCGGATGAATAATTTTTAAAACACCAAAGAAGGTTAGTAATAAATGGCAGCAAAAGAAACGCAAGATGGATAGATGCTGATGCAGAGTTCTCCTCCTTTATTTTCTTTCTCTTATTGCTTTGGACCTTTTAGATTTGGATAAAAAACAAAAAAAAAACCCTTATGTTAAACCTAATATATAGAATATCTCCCGTAATTTTAATACAACATCTTATACTTTGAATTAAATTGTAAAGATGACAGAATCCGTTAAAATTAACGAAAATGACTTATTGAACCCTAAAAATAAATTTTTTGTACCTAATTTTTAACAAACATACCCGTTTTACCCCTTAACCCCCAATTCTCTCTCTCTCTAGAGAATGAAACAAATGATTTTGTTGAACTACCTTTTGCTTGGTTATATCAGGGTATTTTGTCATTTCATCCGTTCCCGTTAATTTTAACGGATTCCGTCACCTTTACAATTTAGTTCAAAAGTATAAGGTGTCGTAATGTATGTTTTGAAATCTGATAGATTTTTCCGTATATTAAATTTATCACAGAGAATTTTTTAGTTTTTTACACTTTAGATTTTCCATAGGCATTTATCTTTTAAAAATGTTTCTTACCCATTTTGATGTCATCGCGAAAATTCCATCCAATAGCTCACAAACAAGGCAATACATGAAAAAAAGCTTAAATTGATAATATCTTTGGTATTATTCAGAAACAAATTAAAATAAGAAAAAAAAATTTTGCCAAATTTTGGAAGTGTGCAACGTTTTGGAGTGGCTGCCTCTTGGTAATGGTACCGCAGAATTAGAAATGCTGCCCTGTATATCCAAGTCGTTTCCCAACAGCCACCTTTTGTACCTCTTGCCTTCCTTATATCTTCAGACAAGTTGATTTGTATTGCCTTTTCTTTCACGAAGTTTTTACTGCAAAAATCATCTTATCATTTCCAAACATCAACAATGGTATCCTTTCTTCCTCTCCTTTACACCACAGCTTCCTCTTCAGTAAATGATGAAGAATTCAACTCCTTCCATTCCATCGACCGCAAGTTGTTCATTCGCTTGATGACTAACCTGGGTCGAGACCCATCCGAGTCCGTGCAACTCATGGCGTTTTGGCTATGGCTAGAACAAGAAGTCGTGGACAACTTGACCTTGGTGAACCAAATGTTGTCCTTGCCAGCAACGCTCATGAGCGAATTAGCAGATGAAAGCGTGATGTGTCTCAAATGTGTGGAAAGTGATTCTTTCCCTTTTGGAGAAAAAGACCCACATGAACTGGTGTTGCTCCCTAGTTTTGTGGAGAGAAACATCAGCTTTCAATACTTCTACGAGAATCGAATTGGGGTTCTTCGTGGGGTGTCGAAAATGATCGGGGAAGTTTGTTCCAGGGCATTTCACGACTTGCTCGTCCCCGCGGGCCTAAAAGGATCTAGCGAAACTTCTTCATCTTTTGGTGAAGTTGGGACAATCTCGCGAAGCCATGGTGGTGTTAGAAACCCCAACACCCCATTGGTGGAGAAAGTTGGCGAAACTTCTTCGTCTTTTGGTCAAGTTGGAACGATGCTCTCGCGAAGCCATGGTGGTGTTAGAAACCCCAATCTGCCATCGGGGGATAAAGTTGGCCAAAGTTCATCTTTTTATCATGTTGGAAATAGTTCAAATTTTATGGGGAGCGGGGTGATGGTGAGTGTGGTTCAAACGCCACCTGTTAATGTTGATGCTGCTGCTGCTTATCCATACTGGCTTCCTTCATATAATCGTATGCGGCCTACTGGATCAGTACAGTTAACAGAAGATCAGATTATGGAAAATGAACTGTGTCACAGGTTGGACAGCCTGAATGATTTGGTGGAGGAGAATGATGAAGTCTCCCCCGATGAAAGGACAATCTTCTTAACTTTCTCCAAGGGTTACCCCATATCAGAAACTGAAGTTAGGGAGTTCTTCACTAGGTATCTCTTATCATCTGTTATTACTTCCATTGTCTCTCCTACTTTTAGTTGATTTTTGGATCATTCAATTTGTCTTTTGTTGCATTTGATTACGTGTTTTGGGGGCATTATCATTGACTAATTTGCCCGAGAGCGTGAAATATTTTAGTTGCATTGCATTGTGCAAACGTGTTCAAAAATATAGTTTTATGTGTGTGTGTGTGTGTGTCAAAGATCTTTTCCATTGTCAAATGCTTCATCTGTTGACAGGAAATTTGGAGATTTCATCGAAGCCATTCAGACGCAAGAAGTTCCACCAAATGAGCAAATATTGTACGCCCGAATTGTTGCAAGGTCAGCCTCAGTTCTTGATGCGGTGGTGGGAGGCGGAAGAGCCAAGTACACCATCAATGGGAAGCATGTCTGGGCGAGGAAGTATGTAAGGAAGCAGAAGCCCCCTCCAAGAAATGTTGCATTACCTATAAAATGAACGACGCCTGAGGAGGGAGGGGACTAATCAATCAAAACTGCAATTACAGTTGTGTTAGTGCTGTAATAAGGGATTTGTATATTTCTGTTGTAGTTGAAGTTTGTTCATTTATGGGGGTCATTAGCAAAAACACTTGTCTTTTTAATAATGTAACCCTATATATAATGTATCTCATGTTTCAGTTTTCATATAACACAATTTCTTTTATCCTTCTATTTTTGAAAATTATATTGGAACATAAGTATTGCTAGAAAACACCATAGAAATCCACGACATGCCTATGCAACCTATAATAATTTTTTAACAAAAATGATTGGAGAAAAGGCAAGGACGTGGGAAGTGGCAAGAAGATCAGATAATAATAGGGAGAGAAAACGCAAGATTATGAAACATATGTACATAGTGTTTCATAATTTCAATCATTATTATATCCTTGATATCCCTCTATATATAAAGTGAAAAAAAAATTCCCACTTCTCACCTTTTTTTTTCACAGTAGAACTAATTTTCTTCAAAATTATAATTATGTGTTTGCCAATACAACTAATTATTAGTAATATAACTACAAAATTAATTAGGGAAAATGGCCAATTTAGTCCCCAAATTTTTTTTTACTGTCAATTTGATCCCTATTTAATTTTTTTGGCCAATTTAATCCCTATACTTACTTATCGGTTCCAATTGAGGAATACCGCGGCGGCGCCACTTTGTAATTTCGATAAAGCTTCTAATTGAACACTTAAGTAGGGGTATTTCAGGTATTTCTAATGGTAACTCCGAGGCCCTATCGATTCCCTCTCCTCCCTTGACCTGCTCCGCCTCCTCATTCCAAGACAACCGTCTTAATGGCACCCTCAACCCTCTCACATGCTGCCTCAACCTCAAGCTCCTCTATCTCTCCAGCAACGACATCTCTGACGAAATCCCATCAGAACTCTCATCAACAGAAAGAAAAAGCCCAAAAAGAAAAATATTAATATTCGGTAATTTCCCTCATGCTTTTGCCGCGACCCATCTGCTGCTGCCTTTTGCCTTTGCCGGTGGGATGGGCCCTGCAACTTTTAGCCTAAAGTGAGAGGACATGTAAAAACGGAAAATGTTGAAAATAATCGGAAGATGAATGCTCGTCTCTTGCAAAGATCACTTCCCAGTTTGAAACAACAATCAGGTGCTCACATTTTATCACGACCAAATAGCATCCCAGTTTGAAACAATCAAGGTTATCTCAAAAAAAAAATTTTGTACTTTCGTTTTCTTTTCTTTATCGTCCGCCCTTTTTGTTGTTTTTAAGCAATCTTTTCATTTCCTATTTTGTAGTAAGTTGTTTCTCCGGTTGAGTCAAATTTAAAATCTAATTGGTTTAGCAGAAAAGCCACGTCTTTTCCTCACAAGGAATATTGGAGCTAATTCCCTTTTTTATTGCAGCCTTTCCAAATTTTTTTTTTTAATAAAATGCAGGCTGCCGGGCTGACTTGCCAATTTTAAACAAACAATGAATTGATTTAAGAGTAAATCTTTCCTACACTGACGGTGTATACACTATCATCGTTGGATTCATGACATGTGTACAAAAGTTGAATTTCAAATTCAAATTTTGCATAGTTGTCAATATCCAACGTTGATAGTGTAACACTGTCAGTGTAGGAAGATTAATCCTTGATTTAAATCAACAGGAAAGTTTAAACAAAGATGCAAGACCCAGAAACAAAAAAGAAAAAAAAAATGGAAGTTCACAAAACAACTGGCTAAGATAAGTGCAGAAGCATAGATCATACCAACGAGGCCAGAACACCTGTCACTGCAGCTAACTTCAAGCATTTGTTCCTTGCTTTTCTGAACCAGGTATATTAGAAGTTAATTAGATAGCGACCAAATGCTTCCTTCCTGATAGCCTATTGTTGCGGGAGGTACTCGAGGGATGGTAGCTTACTTGCTGGGAGGAGGAGTTATGCCAACAATGAAAGCTTGATCGAGATTACAAGGTGAAGTAACCGAAATATCTGAAATGCCGACAATGGTTTATCCTCATCAGTGAAGTACCCGAAATATCCCTACTTAAGTGTTCAATTAGAAGCTTGATCAAAGTTACAAGGTGGCGCCACCGCGGTGTTCCTCAATTGGAACCGATAAGTAAGTATAGGGATTAAATTGATCAAAAAAATTAAATAAAGATCAAATTGACAATAAAAAAAAGTTTGGGAACTAAATTGGCCATTTTCCCAATTAATTATAATCTTATAGAAAAAGCAATCAACAGAAAAAAAAAAAAAAAAACTTTCCCAATAATAAGAAGTTTAAAAAGAATAATTTATTTTTGAATCATAACCAAACCGAGTGTGCCCTTAACGCTCGTTAATTCATAATTTGACGTAACGATTTCAGGCTGAGAATTCTTTACCATGACCACTACCACAAAATTCAACTCGCAAAAAGAAAAGTGAAAACAGAAAGAAATCAGTGCTAAAAGTGCAATTGTAGAAACTCAAAGGGCTCCTCTTCAAAAGGACGGGTGTCATTTGCAGCTGGCGGCTGGACTGAAAATTTTGCTTAGCAACCACTGAGCCAGCCACCGCTGCTCACTGAAAAGTGAATGCTACTACTACTACTGCAAGTACAAAATGTCAAATTTCAGCAGGTTTCTGTTCACGAACGGCGTCCTAGTTCCTCCGGCCGACACACCCCCGGTTGCAACCTTGCTGCAATCGTGTCCCGGTAATAATTTCTTAAACCCTGCATCTCCCTTAAATCCCACCTCAAAAGAGTATCATACACACACTAGTATTCGATTATTGATTGGAATGAAATGCAGGAAGAATAAATGGAAAGCGTCGGTATTAGTTTGTGATATTAGTCTTTCTAGGGTAATTTTCTTGAATTATCGGTGACAAAGAAAAAGCAGCTGCTAAAATTACAGAAATTTAGTTTGATTTCAGGTGCATATACGACAACTCGTACTCACAATAATGGGGCGGAAATCATGTTTTGGCAAAGACATTTATCCAGGCTCTCAAATTCTGTTAAAGTCCTCTTGAATTCCAGGCCCGAACTTTTGTTTAAAGCTGGAGAAGATATGGTACCTTTTGTTAAAGTGTCAGAGAAATCTTTGAAATGGGATCTCGTCATTCGTGCTCTAGTCAATGATTCGATGGGAAAAGCTTTGCCTTTTGTGCTGAAAGAGAGGAAATGTGGGGAGGAAATGTCGATTACGACACTAGTGAGTGGAAATTTGGAGTCTTTAAGGGAGATTGAGGACGTCAATGAGGAAAGACTGAAAGCAGTCTTTGATGTTTATTTGCATTTTGGTGGCTATGTTCCCCGTGTTTTTGGAATCCAAGGGAATGGTGCGCGTTTAGCTGTGGTGGGACGCGGTAGGGATATCGCTAATGCAAAGTATTCGGATTGGGTGAGGTAATTATGTTTGAATTGATTCTTTCTGATTGTCCATTATTGCATTTGGATCACATTAGTATGGCAAAATGCATGTAAGCTAATGTTTTAGTGCATGAGGGGTTCTTTTTGTACTTTGTTATAGCTAGGCTTAGGAAGGATTTGGAGAAGCTGAGGCCACCTTCAACTACTGAGCTTCTATTGTCAAACAATGGTGATCACATCTTAGAAGGATGCCTAACGAATTTCTTTGTTGTTTGTGGCAAGGTGTGTAGTTGAAATTTTGAAGTTTCAAGTTGGTTGCATGGATCAACTTTTTTGTAAATTTTACTGATGTTAGTGTAACTTTTGTTCATTTTAGACTATGAAATTTGTTTCAAAAGTAAGCACACAGGCATGAGAGGCCACATTTAGACTAGTTGTAGAATGTGCTGATATTGTTTAATCAAGTTATACGTAGTTACGCTTTTGCAGTTCACTCTGTAGACCTATTTGGTGAGTATTGTCACATGATTTCCATTCAAGTCTTTACTATCCGTATGAACCACCTGTGCAGTTTTTACATATTCTAAATTTTCATTCTTGCCTGAATTTTTTGAGTTAGGCCAATGTTTGGTTGCTGGAATTTGGAAACAATAGTGTAATAAGAAATATCTTGGATAAGATAATGGAAGGGAAGTTTAGGTGCAGAACCCTTTCATCCATATATTGTCCCTTTTTATTGGCTTAACTATGTGTTTATGTTAATTTGACAAAAAACAACTATTCACAAATTCTTTTTGTTTTTTCCCCCCTTCTCTTTTAAGTCATCGAAGATTCATCCAATAGAACCTGTTACATTATGAAAGGGTTCCTAAAGTCCTATTCTGGAAAGCTGTTATGACAACATAAAGGTAGAACCTATAGCTCTTTGCTTGGTGGAATTGGACATACTGAACCAAAAATTGTATTTAGTACCATTCAGAGGTTATGCCTTTCTACCAGCCTGGGACTTGCATGATACATTTACCATCTCAAAAAAAGGGAACTGCAGGAACTAGCATCTTATATCCCTTCAAGAAAGTCCAATGTAAATGCACTAATTAACTCTAATTTGGTACTTTCTATATGAACAATGCTTTGTGGAAGAATCTTTGCTGCAGTCAGCACAGACATGCAAAAGTCAGTTTCAACTAGCTGTTTGTTTTCTTACTACTGGAAAGTCTTGTGCTGGCATATGATATTTCAACTTAGTCCACTAGTGAAACTTGTCTGCAGGATGAATGCGGAGAGATTTATGAGCAGAATGATTTCGACTATGAAAGATCTGTCGAAGTACAGACAGCTCCTGTTAGTGAAGGTGTGCTTCCTGGAGTTATACGCCAAGTAATAATTGAGTATGTTCTTTCTCAAAGATTTATAAGTTCTTGTGCAGAAAATAAGTCATCTATGGATCATTTCAAACGTCAGCTGTGGACATTATTTCTGTCTTTTTAAGGATGCTTTTACTTTACCAATATGGTGCTGCATGCCACTAGGGCTAGGGAACATTATTTCCAACTACAAAATTGCTTACCAATTAACCATTATGCATGTTTGTGGAGATTTTGAATCTGGCATACATAATGCACATACAAAATGTGGACTTGTTTGTGCAGAAAAGTTGACCTGGTCATGCATAATCATAAGTTAATGGTAACAATCTGTGGTCAAACACTTTTTTAAGATTTTTAGCGGTCCAAACTAAATCTTTTTTGTCTTCGAGGTCCCAGAATCTTCAGATTCTTGGAACATAATAACCAAAACTGTTTAGCCATTCTTCTCTACCATGGGTCTTGTAGGCTTGAGTTTGTGCAGCATATATGTCTTATGAGTTTACTTTCTGCAGGATATGCTTGAGGAATGGGATCCCGTTTAGAGAAGTTGCGCCATCATGGTCACAGCATAACATGTGGAGAGAAGCATTCATTACAAGTAAGTCTGCCTGATATTATGATTTTATTTTAGAGTTAACAGGTTGGATCCTATTATACAGCCAGCAGTTATGAGCTTGCAGCTAGCAAAATTTCTAGTTGCTTGTGTTGGGTATTTTACTTTGGTGATGGACTCTGATTCCTATATTCAACTCCCTATGCCTTGAACTATCCACAAACTTAGCATGAGAACTGTGGAGCAAAGTGCTTTTATTCAAGAATGTCTTATATCTTGTACTTGTTTGTTTCTTTTTCCCTCTTTTATCTTCTTTGCATGTGCTTGGGGAATGGAGAAATTTATTCTGTGAAAATCTCATGATAAGACTAACTCTTTCTGATGTCACTCTTGTCTTCCACGATTAGCTGCTCTTTGCTCACATGATTAACTTGCCAAACAGTTGAAACTATATTATGGTAATGGCATTACTGCAAAGAAATTATTAGCTTCTAACCTTTTGCCATCTTATGAGCTGATATAGTATGCAATCTATTAGTGAATTAATTTACTTACATAACAAATGGTAAATTTTGTCGATCATGTTTTGCATATAGGGTATTAACTTGAGTAGTATTGCAGATAGCTTGAGAATTGTAGAACATGTAGAGACAATTCTAGTCCCAAGTTCATGGAAATCCATGGAATCAAAAACTTCAACGGAAATAAGATGGGAGGAGAAACAATTTGAGGTGTGTGAACTTTTGTTTATACTGAAGAGTAGGAAATTAAATTTCTGTAAGAACTGATTATCTGTCTGATATTTTTTGGAATGTCAGGTCACTCCCGGGAGGGTAACATCAATAATACAGGTAACTTTTGCTGGCCAAATGCTCTAGTATAATTAAGTAAAGGAATAGCCTGATGCATAATTGATGTAAAATGTTAGATCAAAATGGAATGCTGTTGAAAAATCATGCCAGTGGATTTATGGAGCAAAAAAAATATTTTTTGCAACTATGCCAGTGCAATGACAAAGTTGCATCAATACTTGTGAACACTGATGGAGGATACTCTTTTTAAGATGTAGTGAACTCATTACAATTTGTAGATGCATGCTAAAAATAGGTTCCTTTAATTACGTTCTATCGCAGGCTGCTGCAAACAATTATTTAGGGACTTCAATGCTTCATTCAAGACTTTACCACTGTGTGGAGATGCTATTCTTTTGTTAATAAGTTATTGTGGTAATAGTTTTTTGAACTTACAAAAGACAAATAACATTAGCACATCAGGCAATTGTCAAGTAACCTAAAAACTAGAACCCTGTAGAACCACTACAACTTTCATGGATTAGGCAGTCACATTTACTGTTTGTTGACTTTGAACAGAAGGAGGTAATGGAAAAAGCAGGATTTGAAGCATACGCAGTTGCTTTATACAAAGACTGATACTCTTGCATGGTCGAGGGAACAACGATGAGGCAACATATTAAAAGCTAAGAACGCCTTTTATAATGGTTATGAAAAGGCAGCATACATCTGTAAGCTGTGAGAGGGAAATGGAGTATCAGAATTACCATATATGATGGTGGCCACTATGAGATTCAATGCTTGACAAATCTGATGAATACTGTGGTGTTATGATCTTCTCGACAGACATGTACGAATCAGATGCCATTTTGTGCATGTTATACTATCTTATGATTTTATGCAATACTGATGAATAGGGTGGTCTAATGATCTTAGTACATGTCTAGCTCTCTCCCTGTTTGTCATTTTAGGGAGATATTAGATTGATGTACGAAGCAAATGTCTCAAAATTTTAAGACTCTGTGTATTGTGCCATCTGAAAACACAAACCGAACTAAGACAATGGCCTCAATATCTCAAGAAAATGGTATGAATTCAACTTCTATGCATTCTTTTTCTCTTTGTAGCTACAATGCATTACAAAAATACATTTAAAAATGGCATTTTCTTTGGAATTAAGCTTCATTCTGGCTCTTGGAGTGCAGTGTTGGTGTGAACCATTCTATGTTGCATTTTGTAGGATGCTCCATGGACCAGATTCCGGTTGACATATCGACTTTCCCAGTAATACGAATTGTTCTGCTCTGCTACAAAATAGATTCGGTTTCCATTACATATTTCTGATTGCGAGATAGTGAGCCATTTGTGGCTATGAACAATGCCTGGTCCTCGCCCAAACTAGTTGAACTCTTTCAATCCTTATACGACTTTAAGTTTGATAGCTTCAACCGTGAAGTCACTTTTTTGAAGATACATCAGATCTGCAGCAGCATGTTCCTAGTACATTCCAGAATAGACATCAAGAAGTCTCTTATGAGCAATAATTTACCATTACTAGATTCTGCTAAATGTGCAACTGCCCACATACTTTATGCAACTGAAAAGTTGTGAAGAGGCTCAACCACCCGTTGGTCTGAATAAACCGTGTAATCTGCAACTATGAAGCGTACCTGCACCTCACAATCAGTTAGACCAACGGTGTTAAGGGTCTCCTCTATATGTGCATCGTTCTCCTCCTATACACCTTCTACTTTAAAATGTCCCCTACAAATCAAACCAAATACATCCCTTTATAATATAGGATATCAGTATAGTAACCAGGTATACTGCTGATATATTTGGCCTGATATATGCTCCAATTAGTGCATTAAGAGGAGATGAAATTGCGACACGTATCATAAGGTCATGACACATGTCGACTTGGATGACATGTGTTATCATAAGATCATGACACGTATCAGTTTACATGACACGTGTCAAGTGTTGCTATATATATTTTTTGAAACGATAAGATTGTTCATTCACTAAAAGGAATTTACATGTGCGAGCAAAGACTCGAAAAGCTTTACAACTAGTGCTCAATTGCACTGAGGAAAGTACCATTCCTCATCCACAATAATGCCTAAGGCATAAAAACTTAATCTTTTATTATTTGTCATGCTTTCTTCGCTAACCAGCTCAAAGAGCAAATGCGAAGCATCTTCTACAATTCTAAGTCAAGCGTTGCTACATGAATGTATCAAATTATGCAACATGTGTCTGACAAGTGTCGCTACTAGAAGGGAGGTGGTGAAATTATTTATTATTTGTACATTGGTCCTTCATGTTTGAATAAATTGTGTTCAAGCCATAGGTAATTCAAATTACTAGCATTCAGGACTTATTTACATGTAATATCTTAAATATTACATGTAAATAAGGAAGTACCGCCGTTTGGATTCAATAAAAATAGTCTCAAGACCAAATTTTTAATGAATAAAATATCAACTTTCCCTCCGAAAAAACAAATTCTGAGTTTTCATCTCGGGATTTATTTTTAGGAGTCTTAGTTATTTTAGAAAAATAGGGGGTTAGCCTAATTTAATCACAAGAAATAATTAGTAGTTTTTTATTCTAATTTTCTAAGTATTTTAAATACCTAACTTTTGATGATACGTAGTCACTACAAATTGGTCAAATTTGGATGCATATGGACCTAAACCCTATTGTGTAACCATAGTTATTCTAGTGATACGAATTCCATTTATTAAGTGATTTGTTATGTCAAGAAATCTTCTTTTATGATCCAATCGTTGGTCTGACATCAAATTTACTTTTCGGATAATCATAACTTGCTAATAGTATATTTAGAAGTTTAGGATATCACGAACTCTTCTTGGGTGGTAAAACTATGGAGTCTAAGTGTGAGGTGTTAGCAATACTTTTATGGGTGGAGATATCAGCACTTTTAGTGACGTCCACTACCGTTCTACTTCTAATTTTGTAAAGTCAGTAACCAAAAATCACCATTGTACTTCCCTGCATGTAATAGCTATACAATTATCAAGGGAACTGCAAAACCCTAAAGACCCTCCTACACAGTTCTTACTCAATTTAGGTGTTACGTTTACATGAATTGTTCCAAATTCGAAGAATGTGGTAATAAACCAGTTTGATACAAGTTTATATTATCAAATTTAAAGGCCCACGAAGATTACTATATGGAACAGAATATTAAAAAAAAAAAAGGCAAAAAGAAAGGGATACGGGGCCTAGACGCCTGTCAGTAATAACTATTCGAAATAAGGTGTAATTCTACGTGAATTATTTGTAAAACTTAACATCAGATACGCAATTATTATATATATGACTCATATGAACAGTAACAAAATATCGCACCTTTATTATAAGAATGTACAAGAAATTTACATAAAATTATAAAATATTCAAAAAATATTATATTATTGAGGGACAGTAGATCAACCGTCCTTGCCTCGCATCCGAAAGATCCATGCACATACAATGTTTATCTATCACACAAATTTATGGTCACCGCCGTACTGAAAAACATGCAGTTAATGTCAATATACTAGTTGTACCAGTTTTACTTTTAGTGCATTTTTTCATTGGTTAATCTGGAGTTGTTTCTAAAACATTTTAGTATTTCTTTTGCATATTTTCTTGTGAAAACCATTACTGAAACTGAATTCTTCATACTTGAGACCACTAAAACTGGCTTTCTACATCGCAGTTTCTTTGTAGTTTCTACTTTCTACCACAGGACCAGTGCTGGTGAAATTGGCCATATCACCATCATCATTACCAACTATCCCCAATTTAGGCAAGGCATCATTTTTCACTATCTAATGAATGTGCTGTGAACCACTTAAATCTTTTGGTTAAATAATTTCCATTAAAAGACCTACTTGCTATCAAGATTCTATTAAAAGATTGAGAGGTAAATAGCTCCTTTTCTACACAAACTGCTTTTTATGTTTTGCAATTGAAGTGGTAAAACCCACATATAATAGATACCATAAATAGTTTTTTTTTTTTTTTGTGAGTGAATGAGTATAGAGTTATTGTTGTATTAGATAGTATGAATGTGTATCTTTTGAATTGTGTATGAGCTAGAGAGTCAATTCAAACAACAATTATAATCCTCTTTTTTTTCATGATTTCTGCTTAATTATAAGTTCAAATATCATTACTATTTACCAAGTAACAAAAATATAATGCAAGAAATTCATCCAAATTCGATACTACTTCATTTCCATCCATGAATATATTTATGTCCAACATTAATTTACTTCCACGAATATATATTACTTCATTTCCTTTTTCTTTTTAAGGGTGATGAAGAACAATATATCCCATTTCAAGGTGAAATATTTCAAAGCAAAATTAACTTCTAACATCCTTATCCGCCTAATAAATTCAGGTCAAAGTTTGTTTTCCCCAATTTAATTTTTTCCATTTCCATGATCAGAAAAGAAGGCACAAATACTTGCATTTTAGTACTACTATAAATACGACCCCCATTAGTAGTACTTTTTTTTTTTTTTTACACACCATCTCGAAATCAGAAGCAGCTTAGGCAGGCTCCTGTTTCAGCTCTCCCCTCTTCTCCATCGTCCGATTACCCCTTCCCTTCCTCTCACCAAAATCAACTCTAAACCATCATCTCCATCAACCAATCCCCATCTCTCGCGCCAAATACGAACTTCTCCCAAACCCCCGCCACCCCACCGACCTCTCTTTCAACCCCCTGGTAAGTGATTCTTCACACAGTCACCGTTCTCAATCTTCACACACAATACACACAGTCAACGTGGACGATCATCAAAGGGATTAGGTTCTTTATTTTTTTTCTGTTCATTTTGATGTATGATGAATAAGGCGAAGACTTGAATGATCTGGCATTTTGTCGTTTTGTGTGAATGTGTGGAATTTTTGGGGTGAATTTTTTTTGGTTTTAGGGCAAGGGCTAGGGTTTTAGTGGAGATGGCTGAAGCTCCTCCTGTGAGTCCTGGTGGTGGCGCTGGTGGTGGCGGCGTTGAGAGCGGGGGCGAGCAGAGCCCTCAGTCGAACGTTCGGGAGCAGGACCGTTTTCTCCCGATTGCCAACATTGGACGCATAATGAAGAAGGCCTTGCCTGCTAACGGCAAGATTGCAAAGGATGCTAAGGATACTGTTCAGGAATGCGTGTCCGAATTCATCAGCTTCATCACTAGCGAGTATGATTTTTCATTTTGTTTGTTAAAATTTGTAGTAGATATGTGATATTTACTGCTGTTATCACTATGTCTGGATGATTGTGATTATTAAGTTGATTAATGAAGAAAGTTTATTACAGTAGTATTGTAGAACTTCTCTAATTTGAGAAATTTTTTAGGATGTTAATTCAGAAACTAGAAAATTTTGAATCTTTGCCATTTTTTGTTGTCTGTTACTGGTTTTTGGCTTATGGAATCTAATTTTGGCTGAGCGGAAACAATTCAAAAGAACTCAAGAATCAAGATATGGCGTGTGATTAATTAAGACTGCATACGCATATAAGATTTCCCCTTTGAACTCAGTTACTTTTGTAGGAAAACCTTTTCATGCACAAAGTTGTAATATTTTGTTCTGCAAATTTAACTTGAGCCACTGAAGTTTGTGAGGGTTTGACGTTTGTTTGTTGTTTTTAGATTTTAGGTAGAAACATGTAGTATGACAGGGTCCTGATTACACTTCTTTCTGAAGATGTAGAAATTTGACAACCCAAGTTCACCTGAATGAACAAATGTGTTTGTATACTGATGCAGTAACTACTTGAAATTATATACCTGTTAGAATTAGATCTCACAGTTTGCTATTGATGTAATTTTATGAGCTTCACTTTGGCATGCTATTGCTTCTTTTTAATGAACAATAAAAATGCTTTGGTGGTGTCTGAAAAGTCATTTTGATATAGGTTTGGTTTGCTTGTTTTGTTTCTTTCTCATACCTTCTGTTGCGCAGAGCAAGTGACAAGTGTCAGAAAGAGAAAAGGAAAACCATAAATGGTGATGATCTGCTTTGGGCAATGGCAACTTTAGGTTTTGAGGATTACATAGAACCACTGAAAGCATATCTGGCTCGATACAGGGAGGTATGCAATTCCTTTTATTTTTCTAGTTGTGATTGCTTTGTCTGGTTTCTTGTTTATCTCTTTAAGTTATTGGAGCAACAAAAGACTTATGGCTCTTGACTTGTCTATGGTGCCATTAGCTGTATAAATGAAAACAAATGGCGAATATTTCACTTTATATATCTTGTTTAATGTACTTTTGCAGGATTTACTTTCTTTTGGTCTTAGAATTTGGTGTATTTTGTTTGTCACTGATGAGCAACTGACTTTGTTTAATTCAATGACTGGTTGTTTTGGGCTTGGCTGATACATGTACAACCATGATGCTACAGTTAGAGGTACTTAACTAGCTGATAGCTTTTTAATTAATTGTTTTTCTTAT